CACTCCAGGTTTGAACACTCATGCTGCATGGTCGCAGATGAATGCACATGCCTTAGTCAGTTGTACCTGACACCACCATGGTTGCCTCAGCGACAATGTCACTACAACAGTGTGATATGATAAAGGCCTAGCTGGCTTTGAAACTCACTTATGGCCTGTGGCAACATGTCGAAAGTTAACGTTCCCTAAACATGTTCGATTCCCTCTGTAAGTGCTGATGTTACCTTTGCAAGGTAGAAGTTACACTAAGCCTTGGATGAGATAACCTTTGCAAGTGAACTCCAATTTCATCGTGAGGCTGATTCATCTGATTGTGGGAAATCCACCATCACTCGTGCATCACTTTAATTGAGCTGAGATGACTAAAGCCCTTATCCACAAATCATGCTTAAGTTGAATACAAGAGTAGTACAGCCGGTTGCTAAGGCGATAGGTATCCAAATGGAAAGGCCTGATTAGGCAACTGATCACCTGACTAATATCGGAACACCATGCCGCCTTTTCCTGCAAGGTCGAGGCTACCAGCCAGATGACCATTGGTTGACTGCCTTTTGGTTCCCAGATAAGCCGAAAGTCCAAGCTGCCGTAATCGGATGAATGACACATTTGCTGACTCTGTTGTTGTTGCTGTTGTTGTTGTTGAGGCGCATGTAGGGGCATGGGCTGCTGTTGCTGTGGCTGGCTTTGGTGATGATGATGAGGCTGATTTTGCTGTTGCTGTTGCTGATTGTATTGCACACATGTTGGAGACTGGTCAAGAGCAACTGTCGCCATTGGGAGGCTGCCTGATCTGGTCTCAAAAGCATAGACAGCCTGGCCTACAGATGATAACGGCTTGCGTGACTCACTCCCACCGGCCAGGCAGCCCGGGCAAAGTGTCAGTAGACTCTGCTTTGCAGGCAGATTCATGGTGTGTCCATTAACGCCACTCATACTGCCACCCCCGCATCCGCCACTTCCGGTACCTCCTGAGCTGGGCTTGACGGAAGACCAGAATGAAGTACCACCACTGCCACTGCCGTTGAAGGCAGTGGCTATGGTACCGGCAACGGCTAAAGTAGCAGAGCCGGACGGTCCAGGAAGGTTCGCCGCGACGACCGGTGGAGAACTGACCCCACTGCTGGCGCTCAAACGGCCTGACGTCCATCGGCTACTGGTCGGCATCTGAGCTGATGTCGCGTTTGCGGCTCCAGACTCGCCTACCGTCGAGAGCCCGGCTTGGCTGTTGCTCCTGCAGGGGTTAGCATGGAAGTTGGTACTGTTGATGTAACCACTGTTGAGGTTTGCGTTTGACAAGGAGGAGTAACAGGAAGCCGAACGGATGGATGAGGAGGAGGCAGCGAAAGCGGTGGGTCCGAGTGCCGAAGTGGCTGCCACTAGCAAGGCGGTGATACCGGGCGCAGAGTTTCGATGTGGAGAGAGAGGTGGGGCAGGTTGTGTGGAGGAGGTTTCGCCTCCCAGCATGGGATCACACGGTGTCAAATCATTATAGCAACCTGCAGCCGAGTAACGAGGCGAAATGGAAAGAATAAGACTAAAGGGATGGAAATATTTATCACCAAGGGTCAAAGAAGGGAAATTCTTGTAGGCTGCTTGAGAGAAAACAAGTTGAAGACCTAATAAATATAATTATAAAGATCAACAGATCATGGAGGAAGACTAAATGGAACGAAGGAAGAAGGAAATAATTGAAACAAAGGCTAATTTAAAAAGAATTCTAGGTAGTGGCACAAAAAGGACAACACATGAAGAAATTAAAGGAAGGGATTAGAGAATTTATTCAGTCATAGTATATTTGTGGATTAGCTCTCTATTACATAAATCCATTCCTTAATAATGTTTGAAATATTTCCAGAATTCCCGTGAGTTTTGGCAAGATAATAGATGGTAGCTCGGTCTCGATGCTTCCCACTGTTCTGCAGCCAATACGACATTCTACCCTGTTTTAGGCTAAAAAGGGTTCGGCAAGCTGACTGACATGTACAGGCTTGCATTTCCTCCGCTTAGTCGTAGTTATTTCTTGGCTCACCTAATATCGGTCATGCATTTCCTTGGGACATGAGGTTGGGCTCTTTTGTAACAACTCTGAAGTATATCCGGTATTGTGAACCTTGTGAACCTGGTGTAACGAAACTTACACACCGAATTGTGCATACACACACGCGCAAAGACACAGAGACATACGTAAGGGTATAAGGACCCTAATTATTATGATAATTAATAATAATAATAAATTAAAATTTAATATAATATATAAATAGATCTATTTATTAATGCTTTTATTCATGGGTATATATAACACGTAGGATAGAGCCGGATGGTCTTCTCAATTTGGTGGTAATTTGGAGCTTTTGGAAGAATGGGCTCCAACTCTGACTATGCCTATCAAATGACATGAGGGACGAAAGTTCAGTCAATTTTTACTGAAAACC